TGAATAAACGTTCTCTAGAATCTTGAGGATCCTCAATAACTTTGCTTGATTGGAAGTGGGGAGTGAAAATTTGGTGGTGATGCCACTTGGAAGCTCCTCTCCCTTTTTGAGGTGATGTACGGCGCGAAGCAGGACGTCGAGCTCGTTCTGGATGATATGACCGAATTCTTCTGCCTTGGTTTTGAGCTCTTGTGTTATCACATCTCGGGCATATGGAAGTGAAGAAAGATTGAAAACTAATGTCTGAGTATTCTGGAAACAGCGAGAGGAACATTCGCCCATTGTGAGGAGGTTGACAACCAGTCGAAGTGAATGTTCTGGGAATTGAGGGGGTTTGGATCGGAGGATATCTTCGCGTGTGGGAGGGGTGGGTTCGGATGACTTGACTTCCTCGCTCAGTTGAACTGATTGTATATATGTTAGTCTAGTGCCTCAAAACCTGTGACCATGGCTTTGGCCAGAATCAAGGCTTACCAGGTTCATTTGGAGTTTGTAATGTATTGACTTCACCCTCCGCTCGAGTGGGTGATGAGGTTGCTTCGGCTGTAGCATGAGGGCGAGAAGGATCCTGGATCGTTGGAACGATTGTTTTGGGAGAATGGTCATCTGATCGAGGAGGCTCCCGTAACACGGCTAGTGGCTTTGTAATGGTACATAGAAGGCCGGAAATCGCATCGAGAGAATGCGCTTGTTGGACTAGATTAGGGCGTTCTAGCAATGAAAGCAGTTGCACGAAGGGATAATGAGGGCCCGCTACAGGTCTCTCCTTCCCTTTTCCTTTTTTAGAGACGCTTCTCTGCAAGCCTTGTGCATGGTCCTGTTCCGTAAGGAAGAACATAGATGCCGATTCATTAGCTTGTACGACTGCTGACAATGTATCCAATGTTCTTTGAATGACGACATGCTCTTCTGGTGGTTTGTCCCCAAGTGTACCCGCTGTAATCGAGTCGTCTCTTTGCTTGCCTTTGCTATTAGACTTTACCCCGCGAACGGAAAGCTGGGAGAAACTTCTATCAACTGCATTGAGGTCTATTTTGTTGCTGTTCAGAAGAGTAAGGAGGATGCTGAGTAAATCGATTCTAGACCGATTATTCTCTGAAAGATTGACGAGGACCTGCTGTAGAGACGCCCGTCGATTTTGATCCAAGAAGAACAGTAACCGGACGAGATGAACCAGTCCTGATTTGTCTAATAACTGGGCGGTTTCTCGATATTGAATCTTGCGAGTGGCAGGGGGGGGGATGGTCTGATTTACCACAGAGATGCCAGGTAACGGCCGTCGACTATCTCGTTGCGCTCGTAAAGCATTGGCTTCGGCTAATATCGATGAGGGCATGGTTTCCAAAAATGCATGATCTTGATCTAGTTGCTCAAGGAGCACAGTTTGGCGTAGTTCCTCCGGCAGAGTCGCCAAAACAGATGCTGCATCCATATCTACAGCTTCGGCCATGCGAGCGTATGTCTGTCCCCGGAGGACATCTTCTCGAAGCTCTGCAGGTAACGCATTGAGGAATTCCATATCCATTTCTGCCTCAGAAGCCCGAGGAGGTCGTGTTTGCCGCTGTTCACGAACGAAATTGCCAATGATCTCGTCACGAATCTCTTCTGGAACTGCGTTCAGGAATTCCGGATCAATGTCGGCATCCGTGATGTCAACACTTTCGCCTTGATACATAACTGTCACTCGAGGGCGTTGGCTACTACTAGCTTCGGCTGTCGTTGGATCACCGGTGCTAGGAAGCGGTTCAGATCCGGCCGTATCTTGATTTGAGGAGCTTGGTATGCTCTCTTGTTCGACCATAGTCGCATTTTCTTCAGGTTCTGGAGGTTTGGCTTCTGCCTCTTGCCTTTGTTGTTCGGCCAGCGCAGCCTCAGCTTCGAGTCGAGCCTTTTCTTCTGCCTCTGCTTTTTCTTGTGCTTCTCTCTCTGCTTTGGCCTTTTCTTCTGCCTCTTTCCGTTGCCTTGCTACTTCTTCGGCCTGTAGGCGAGCTGTTTCCCGAGCTGCTGGAAGAAGTCGTCGAATAACATGGTTTTCCATCTCGCTAAGACGATTTTCAAATGCAGGCCCTGCGTTGACCCTGATTTCTTCGGCCCACCTCTGAGCAGTTGTCATGGAAGGGGAAAGACCACCTTCACGACTGGATGGGCGACCAGTTCTAGTAGCATATCTTGACATCATCCTATGTCTAAACTGCGAACTATCCAATCCTGCTTCCTGGAAAAGTAGTTGGGCCGCCGGTCCTGAGAGTGCAAGATGGATATCTCCGTGTTGATTCCTAGCTAGATCCTGGATCATC